CACCCTCAGTGATGAGGGTGAATTTATCATAACAGTGAATACATGTAAACAACATAATAAACATAGTAATTAAATGTGAAGGGCAAACTTACTACTGGGAGGGGGAGGCAAAGGGCGGAAGTTTGATTGGGCGAAAATGTCCAGTATACAGTAGTACATGTATATACACCAAGAATATACACCAAGACACAGTGACTTGTATACATTAGATAATGGAGAAGAATTACTTATGAACAGCATGATGGATCATGTTTTCTCCTACAATGTACCACACAAAATTACATCTTGTTTTCCTGTGCATGACTTTTCTGTCACCACATACAATATTTCTCTGTCACCCTCTTGGTTACGACAGACAGCATGTGGAAAATACAATAACTATGATGCCACCAGAATAATTAAATGCTGAAAACTATTATTTTCAAACATGGTATTAGAAGTATGGGAGAAAAAATAATCATCCCCTACCTTGAGGATGTAACAGAGAAATCTCCAAAACTTGGGGTGCTTATTTGATTGTTTAACCTTCTGGTTAGACAACAAAACAAAATTCACCCACTTAGTTTGAGATTTCTCTGTCACACTATCGAGGTAGGGAATGTTCTGCTATTCCATTATTTATGGTCTTTGGTGACAGGAGAGTGTTGGGGTTATATGAGAGAACTGTACATATTTAAATACACAGATCCAGAGAAGGAGCAGCAGGCGCGGGAGTTGGCCAACACAGAGATGATCCCACTGAAGCCCACACACCTGTCATTCTGGACCAAGTTTTACGAGCTCCAGACAAAGATGTTCTTCTCCAAGACTGATATTGACCTGGAGCACAAGTACAGCTCCGGTCCACTGGACTGGCCCTTCCTCACCAAGAACACTGCCTACTGGATGTCTTCTACATCCAATGTAAGTACGGTCTGTATCCCCAATCGTCAGTCCCCTGGGAAACCCGGTCACCTGGTCAACAGACTCGGTATGGGTCTGTAGCGGTCTTTCTCCCACAACCAATAGTGGTTTCCTCACTTTTGACTTGTTGGATAAACCTGCTAGGAGTTGGTAAACATTTTTGGTTACAAGTGGCTAACACCCTGGATGTGATTTCATTGGTCAATCTTCCAATGATAACGTCAATGTCCTAGTTCGTGGCAATTGTTTCCTCGATCAGACACAAGAATGATTTATTCCTAAGAGGAACATAGGGTTTACTAGATATAATATCTGAACGTTTGGGGAGAAAAGGGTCTCAAAACTTGTGATGGTTGATCAACAAGTTTATCTAACTCTTTTTTTTTAAATTTTCAAATTGAAAAAGACACTTGGTAAACATTGTGTCTTTCACAATTTGTGAAAATTATCTAACTTGAGTTAGATAAACATGATAACCTACCACCACTCATTGGGGAACCTCTGATACCTGAGGAACTCAGTCACCTGGTCAACTGGTAGAGTGACTCAGTATGGGTCTGTAACTGTCTATATCCTCACTGATCTATCCACTTGGGNTTTCAGGCCCAGATCCACCTCCTCGGGAACCCTGTCGTCTGGTACTGTGGCTCGCTCTCCCTCTTCATCTACATAGGACTGTTTGTCCTTTACCTCATGAGGCGAAGACGTGACATATTTGATCTGACTGAAAGTGAGTACTTTTTCTCTGCAAGTGATAATATCATCATCATCATCAAAACAAAACTTACAATTGAACATATTCCTGGAAATGTATATAACTAATTTTCTGATGTTAGAAGACCTTAATAGTTGATTATGGTTGTAACGACTTACAGGAGAGTTATCTGTCCTAATGTTTGACAATTACAGGTGAGTGGCACCATTTCCTGTTTATCGGGGAGCTCCTGATTGGAGGATATTTCTGCCACTACCTGCCCTTTTTCCTGACGGATAGAACACTTTTCATGCACAGTTATCTCCCTTGTGTTATCTATAAGATCCTGTCTTTGGCAGCTGTGGTGGACCACATATACATAATATCTCACAGGTATGTATCATAGATATCCCACACAGATGTGTAACTATTACAGGTATGTGTCATAGATATCCCACACAGGTGTGTAACTATTACATGTATGTATCATAGATATCCCACTCAGGTGTGTAACTATTACAGGTATGTATCATAGATATCCCACACAGATGTGTAACTATTACAGGTATGTATCATAGATATCTCATACATGTGTATAACTATTACAGGTATGTGTCATAGATATCTCACACATGTGTGTAACTATTACAGGTATGTGTCATAGATATCCCACACAGATGTGTAACTATTACAGGTATGTATCATAGATATCCCACACAGGTGTGTAACTATTACAGGTATGTGTCATAGATATCCCACAAAGATGTGTAACTATTACAGGTATGTGTCATAGATATCCCACTAAGGTGTGTAACTATAACAGGTAAATAGATATCCCACACAGGTGTGTAACTATTACATGTATGTGTCATAGATATCCCACACAGGTGTGTAACTATTACAGGTATGTATCATAGATATCCCACAAAGGTGTGTAACTATTACATGTATGCGTCATAGATATCCCACACATATGTGTAACGATTACAGGTATGTGTCATAGATATCACACACCGGTGTGTAACTATCACAGGTATGTATCTTAGATATCCCACACAGATGTGTAACTAGTACAGGTATGTATCATAGATATCCCACACATATGTGTAACTATTACAGGTATGTGTCATAGATATCCCACACCGGTGTGTAACTATCACAGGTATGTATCTTAGATATCCCACACAGATGTGTAACTATTACAGGTATGTATCATAAATATCCCACACAGGTGTGAAACTATTACAGGTATGTATCATAGATATCCCACACAGGTGTGTAACTATTACAGGTATGTGTCATAGATATCCCACAAAGATGTGTAACTATTACAGGTATGTGTCATAGATATCCGACACAGGTGTAACTATTACAGGTATGTATCATAGATATCCCACACAGGTGTGTAACTATTACAGGTATGTATCATAGATATCTCACACATGTGTGTAACTATTACAGGTATGTATCATAGATATCCCACACAGGTATGTTACTATTACAGGTATGTGTCATAGATATCCCACACAGGTGTGTAACTATTACAGGTATGTATCATAGATATCCCACACAGGTGTGTAACTATTACAGGTATGTGTGATAGATATCCCACACAGATGTGTAACTATTACAGGTATGTGTCATAGATATCCCACTAAGGTGTGCAACTATTACAGGTATGTGTCATAGATATCTCACACATGTGCGTAACTATTACAGGTATGTATCATAGATATCCCACACAGGTGTGTAACTATTACAGGTATGTATCATATATATCCCACACAGGTGTGTAACTATTACAGGTATGTGTCATAGATATCTCACACATGTGTGTAACTATTACAGGTATGTATCATAGATATCCCACAAAGATGTGTTACTATTACAGGTATGTGTCATAGATATCCCACAAAGATGTGTAACTATTACATGTATGTATCATAGATATCTCACACAGGTGTGTAACTATTACAGGTATGTATCATAGATATCCCACACAGGTGTGTTACTATTACAGGTATGTATCATAGATATCCCACACAGGGGTGTAACTATTACAGGTATGTATCATAGATATCCCACACAGGTGTGTTACTATTACAGGTATGTATCATAGATATCCCACACAGGGGTGTTACTATTACAGGTATGTATCATAGATATCCCACACAGGTTTGTAACTATTACAGGTATGTATCATAGATATCCCACACAGGTTTGTAACTATTACAGGTATGTATCATAGATATCCCACACAGGTGTGTAACTATTACAGGTATTAATCTATCATAGTTATATGTATTTAGTTGGTAACTCTGCATTTTATATTCTCATTATGAATGGAATTAGTCTATTATAACCAAACAATGTCCTGAGGAGTATTGGGTGAGGGAGCTGTTTACCAGGAGGTATTGGTTAGCCAGTACCCGACAGTCTAGATTAGAGCCAGTGCTGTGCTATACATTTAGGCCGTACTGATGACCTGCTTTAATTGGGTCATAGAGTAATCGGGGGATTACAGAAAAATGTCATAAAATATCAGCCATTAAACATGTTTACACTACCATCCTATGTAGTATAACCATGCTTTGTTTTTGGTAGGTTTGTGTTTGCCCCGACAGTGGTGTGCGGTGTTTGTCTGGGCCTTGTATCATCAGCAGTGTGGGCATTCTTCAAATTGGCTGTGTTCAGTTATGGAAACACCAACCTGACACCGGAGCACATTAAGCATATCACCTGGAAAGAAAGCTGGGACTTCCTTGTCCATACACAGCCATGATATCCGGAGACCTTGTGACACAGGCCTGTGTGGAAGTACGGGTCTCCTCTAGGAGGAGCAAGATGAACCATGAAGCAGAACCTTTTGATGAACTTGTGCCATTTCAGTAATTTAAGTACATCATAGTTATTTTTGACGTGACCTTTGATCAGTACCATGCACACTAGATATTATTGTTTCTAGTCACACATCTGTTGATGAATATCTCTCTCTGTGATGTTTATGCTAAAGGGTTGGCTGGCCAGTGTTGGTGAAGGGTTGGCTGGCCAGTGTTGGTGAAGTGTTGGTGCAGACTTCTTTGAGATGTTTAGAGTTGATAAGCTTTGTTAACACCTAGGTATACAGGTACAACTTTGTTTAAGTTATCAATATGCCATATTCATTGTAAGTTCCCTCAAGTAGTGGTATTGCAGCTATTCACCAAGACAGTCAGAATTTCATAACGCTATTTTTGCAATTTCACTTTCCTGTCCTGTCTGGTGCTCCAATATACCACAAGTCTAGAACTATGATAGGATTGTAATGGTAATATTGAGTTCAGTAAGTCCCAAGGTTGTAATGTTTAGGCAGTAGTTACCTGGGGTGGAGTGCAATACATATTTCCTCTAATTAATGACCTTGGCTTACTTTAAAAGTAGGTTACAGGGTTTTTTGTGTAATAACTTTGGAACGATTGAGATCCCCAACCTATAACCATATGCCTGATATCATACTGCCGATATTGGTCCCGTAGTCTGCCTCCTTTCTCCCTTGTCGTGACAGAAAATTATTTAGATACCTACCCCATAATCGTATATGCAATTACTTTGCATGAAGGGTTGAACAAAATCATGCTACCAGGCTTTAACCAAATCAGACCCCACCCCTTGGGACTTTGTAGGTCATGACTTAGAAACAGTTGAGATCCTCACAACCATAAAGAACCACACTGTCAGAAAATATGTTGGAAAAAAAGTAAATTAACAGAGAATCTAACGGGAAAATGTTGAAATATGTAAGACTTTTGGCATGTCACTCTATGTGCTTTCTGGATATGAAGCAAATAACACCAAGTGCTATGTATAATGTCCTGGGGGGACTTAGTCCAAGGATCATAATATAGAAGCTATTGACATTCAAACCTTATAACTACATGCTATATATAATGTCCTGGGGGGACTTAGTCCAAGGATCATAATATAGAAGCTATTGACATACATATCCTAGGCATATCAACCAATTTGCTACTATTATTTTTGGTACGAAAGAAATTTTAGCAAATCAGTTACATCCATATAAAACATCAAGCCTTAGCAGGATGTAACCGATTTGCGTTCTCACTGATATGAAAATTTGAAATCTATTTTACAAATTACTGAACCAAAGTCCATCATTGTTTATTTATAGTAGTTGTTGTTCCCTGTATGGTGTGGACTGCTCAGAAGCTGTTTTCTGTGACAATAGGTTCAGCTGAAAACAAATCCATGGAAATCCATTTAAAAACAGATATTTAGAGATAGTTTTATTTTAATATTACCTGTGTATTACCCTTGAAAATGAAATGATACTGAAACTTTAAGCCACAGACCAATTATACCCCACACCCACTTCTGACTAACTTTTGGTTGTAATGTTTCATTAAAATCTATCTTGAATTTTAAGAGATGTCTTGATGCATTTCTGTCTACAGGGTGCCTACATATTTATGTACTTATTCTCTTCAATGATTGTAGCCAGGTTGTGAAATTCTAATTCTTCTACAACCATCTTTTTACAAAAAAATATCTGGACATTGTTAATAGTTATATTAAGGGTTGGTAACTTACAGGGTATTTACGGTAATTTAACGGGAATGGGAGGGGTCTGCCTGGAATAGAATAATACAGCAATTTCTCAGGAGTGATGTCTGACAGGATTTATACCGTAATTGTTATTTAGTGCAATACGTCTATGTGGATGTGCCTTAATATTTACAGTTTTTCATTTTAGATCTTGCCTTGTATAACTTGTCATGTGTAAACAATCTGTGTGTCCTTCCTGATACAAGTCAGTTTCTGCCACAAAGCAAGCTGTTATTTTGCAATTTATGTGTGATGTGCTTTTATTATATAGGATAGAAATCTCTTGTTGAGGGAGGGAAGAGAAAGTTGAGTCTAACTAACGGAGTGTCAAGATGATTGGATGATAGAACAGTTCCACTACATTCCAGATTAAGATTATTAACTGTTATACTTGTACAAGTTGTGTGTGTATGGCAGTCAGCCATGTGTCGGAAGTTATACAGAAGAGTTATCACAGCCATGTCTTGAAATGTGCCTTTGTATCTGGTTTTACAGACCTGTATCATTACTTCATGGGAGATTACTCTGACACTACCATTCACTGACTGATGTACAGGTCCTTTAGAATATATACTATTCCATTTGTGCTGTCCTTAATATTTTAATAATATTTGTGTCTTTATTTTTCAGCAATACATATTTATTATGCATTAAAATTTTATTACATTTTTAATGGTTTTCAGATTTTTGTTGTTGATTTTGGACGGCTGTGTTTCTTCCTGTCAACATCTACATTGCAGAGGAAATTCTGTTTGATTTTATCTCATCTGTCTATTAGCAGTAAATGACAATACAGACATAAAACTGATGTGTGTAATAGAGAAACAGCTTACAAGTCAGAAGTGGGAGAACTAAGCCAGGACTTGGTCCACTTCCATGCTATTTACACTGCAGGTTGGCTGTGTAGATATACAGATTTTGGTGTCATGTCATGGTGTCAGTCGTCTGTCCAGCAACTTATTGATGTTCTCTGTCAGTATAAAGAAGCAATTCTCTGAAACAAAATTAGATCTGAAACTACAACATTTCTTAAAATGAATATATGACCAAAACAAGAGATCCCAGAGGGATCTTGGCGCCCACCTTTGTACCATCTTCATTAGTTCTTTGTCAGTTCGATCTTTTCTCTTCTTTCCTCTAATCTGTTTGATCGAGTCATGTTAACAGTAAATGCACCTTGAGGTAACTTTTGATCTAAACTTAATACTGATGTGTATGAAAGCCAACCTTCAAAGTGAGTTTGTCATTTCACATATTTACTAGTACAGTACTTAATGTGAAAGAAATAGAATCGATCATTGCAATATGAGAAAGATCTGTTTAGTTCTTCTTTTAATCCATTTTGTTTTTATGATCAGTCTCAAAATATAACATACACAACGAGGGATCAAGGGGAACCTACATTTAAAATTTGAGAAAGATCCCTCCCGTACTTCCCGAGAAATAGCGATAACAAACTTTCACTATCAAAATCCAAGATGGCTGCCTGTCGGCCATGTTGTTTATCCGATCAGTCTCTAAAATTGCCCTGCACAGCTAGGACCAAGGGGAACCTACATATAAAATTTAAGAAAGATCCCTCTAGTTCTTCCGGAGAAATAGCGGTAACAAACCTACACTATCAAAATCCAAGATGGCTACCTGTCGGCCATGTTGTTTATCCGATCAATCTCAAAAGTTGCCCTGCACAGCTAAGGACCAAGGGGAACCTACATATAAAATTTGAGAAAGATCCCTCTGGTACTTCTTGAGAAATAGCGATAACAAACTTTCACTATCAAAATCCAAGATGGCTGCCTGTCGGCCATGTTGTTTATCCGATCAGTCTCAAAAGTTGCCCTGCACAGCTAAGGACCAAGGGGAACCTACATATAAAATTTGAGAAAGATCCCTCTGGTACTTCTTGAGAAATAGCGATAACAAACTTTCACTATCAAAATCCAAGATGGCTGCCTGTCGGCCATGTTGTTTATCCGATCAGTCTCAAAAGTTGCCCTGCACAGCTAAGGACCAAGGGGAACCTACATATAAAATTTGAGAAAGATCCCTCTGGTACTTCTTGAGAAATAGCGATAACAAACTTTCACTATCAAAATCCAAGATGGCTGCCTGTCGGCCATGTTGTTTATCCGATCAGTCTCAAAAGTTGCCCTGCACAGCTAAGGACCAAGGGGAACCTACATATAAAATTTGAGAAAGATCCCTCTGGTACTTCTTGAGAAATAGCGATAACAAACTTTCACTATCAAAATCCAAGATGGCTGCCTGTCGGCCATGTTGTTTATCCGATCAGTCTCAAAAGTTGCCCTGCACAGCTAAGGACCAAGGGGAACCTACATATAAAATTTGAGAAAGATCCCTCTGATACTTCTTGAGAAATAGCGATAACAAACTTTCAATATCAAAATCAAAGATGGCTGCCTGTCGGCCATGTTGTTTATCCGATAAGTCTCAAAAAATTGCCCTGCACAGCTAAGGACCAAGGGAAACCTACAGACAAAATTTGAGAAAGATCCCTCTGGTACTTCTTGAGAAATAGCGATAACAAACTTTCAATATCAAAATCAAAGATGGCTGCCTGTCGGCCATGTTGTTTATCCGATCAGTCTCAAAAGATCCCTCTGGTACTTCTTGAGAAATAGCGATAACAAGATTTGTTTACTGACAGACGACGGACGACGGACAATGGACGGACCACGGACCACGGACGCAGGGTGATTTGAATAGCCCACCATCAGATGATGGTGGGCTCAAAATCTTACATTTGAAGCAGATTAAAACAGTACACACCTAAACATCAAAGAGTCCATGATTGCAGTTTTAAAGAGGATCAACCAGTCGAAAGTAAGTCTGTTCCACATTTCTTCTGTTGGATTGTTAAAGAATTGGTTCTGTAAGGGACAGTGCATGTGTTGGGAACAGTCTGTAAGGGACAGTGCATGTGTTGGGAACAGTCTGTAAGGGACAGTGCATGTGTT